GGGGGGGGGGGGGGGGGTTAGAGGTTTGTCGATCCTGTCCTTGAAGAATAATACTAGTATATTTTTATAAAAATACTTGAAATGAAAGTTCATTTACGGTAATTTAATTCTACTTTTTTCTGTCCCAGCTTCAACAGAGATGGCCTTTATTGTGCAAACACGCGCTGCGATTCTCCAGAGACGGCTCTCAGATGCTTGAAGAGCAAATCCAATTTGGAAGGTTTCGAAAGTGGTTCAGTTGTTTTGTTTCCGGGGCTAAAATTAGTAAAAGCGCAGAGGGTTAATTCTTCAAACATCCGGGCTACATCCCTGGAGCTTAGGCAATCCCAGGTCGATGATTTGTCTCGCGAAAGTGGAATTTTAATCTCCAAAGGAGGGGGAGGGGGGTTGTATTAATCAATCGTTCTTTTTACCGTATATCCTCATTAAAAAATCAGGGTTTTTTAAAGAATCTTAAATACCCAGATAAATTGAAGAAAGCTGAAAAATAATCGAAGAATTCAATTTTTTCCACTGCTCATACACTGAAAAAAAAAATTCTTGGCGTTTTTACCAAGGTCCGTTGGTACCTTTACCATCTCACTTTTTTTTACCAATTATTGGTAACTTTACAAAGATAGACTGATAAGCTTACCTAAAAACCGGTATTTTTACTGTTTTTTCAGATAAGAATACCACTTTTATTGGTAATCAATCCCCGGTAACTTCGCCATTTTATCTCGGTAATTCTACCACAGTCGATGAAAAATATTGGCGTTTTTACCGGGGTCCAGTAAAATTACCGAGAAAGTCAATAATTTTACCGAGATTTCTCGGTAAAATTACCAATTCCATAAATGGTAATTTTACCAAGAAAAAACTGGGATCAACTAGAACCCTGAATTCTTAGTAATTTTACCCTTTTCTTAGTAAATACACCGAGATTTTTTTTTTCAGTTAGGTGAACCTTAAGGGTTTTGGTAATGTTTGGAAATTCATCACCTTGCACATGCAAGTGCGTTACTTTGTCCTTCGGGAATTTCGGGAGTTTAATTCCCGAATCTAAAAAACTAGTGAAAATCAGAAGTTGATTTTTCCCTGAAAAGCCAGGATCATTGTTTCACCGTCGATTTACCATCCGGTCACGCTAGGATCTGGCAATGGCGCTTCAAGCTGATAGCTTTCTTCTCCACCCGCTTCCGTAGCATGCTCTCAGGCGCACTACTGTCTCTCTCGCTCTCTCATTGTTAACAATGGGTATAGTTACTGATGTACGGAACTCTCTTTATCGTCCACCACGGGACAAAATTAGACCAGTGATCAGTAACTGGAACTTCAATCGGTTGTCCCAACTTTTAACGACCGCGACCGTTAGAAGAGGTTGCTGACCTTTGCCACGGAAAGACTTGTTATTCTAATCTCCGAGTAGGAAGAAAAATGAGAAACAGCAAAATATAAAGTAAAGTAAAGCAAAATTAAATAGGAAATAGCGGAGAAACAGGAAACTGAATTGTATGTAACTAGGGGGTACGCGCTCTGACCGCTACCCCCGACTGACCTTAGAGAATCCCCCTCCCCGCCGCACAGTGGATCGAGTCAATCGGACTTGAAATTTTTTACCAAAACTGCAAATTTTGATGTTTATTTCGTCACATCTTAACTTAAAGGGGTGCGTATGAAAGAAAATTTTACGAGAAAACCAACGGAACCACTATTAGAACCTCAAAGTTTTGTATAAATGCGGAGTTATAAGCTTTTAAAGTTTCCACATTTTGTCCGACCTCTCCCGTTGACTCGATCCACTGTGCGCCGTGTTTTTTTTTTTTTTGGTGTTCCTCGTGTGTGCCAGCCGCCCGGGCAATTTAATTTCCAAGACCGATCTACATAGATCAGTCGTTCCCGCAGGTGAGCTTTGAACCTCTGCGCTGTGACGTAGAACTGGCTGTTTTTGCGGTGGGAAATTTAAATGCACTGTGTTTCTGATGGGAGCAGCCAATGTGACGTCACTTTGGCTGTGACAGAGAGAAGGCTGGGTGGGAGAGTGGATTTTAAAAGGATGTGCAATGTCTGACCGGTGGGTTGATGGTTGATATCGGTAGACAAAGTTATAGGCAACGAAGACAAAAAGGATATGGGAGGGATCCTATTGATGGAAACAGGTGGTTGAAATAAAAAAAGGAGGTAGTTAATAGACTAACTAACGGCAACCCATTAGAGACCTCCTAGTTAGCCCATCATTTTCTCCCTTGGTCTGTTACAACCACCCCATTTCAACCAGTTGGATCGCTCCATACTCCCCATGTCC